CCAGAAATATACAAGGAAGTGGGAGGATATATTTTTCAGCAACAATCTCATAGTGTTTGTACTGGGTTACAATAAGGCCACTGTAACCATTATGAGTTGGCATTTGATGGACAGAGGGGGCTGTTCTTCATAACATTTCTGTATCTTAAATTCATCAGGCACTAATTAATTTTGGTTTGGGGAAACCAGCACAGACTGGGGGGGACTATATGATAAAACAGCAGAAATATCTGCAGAAAAAAAATTGCACATTTTATGATCTTAGAACTCCTTGGATTTGTTTTGAAATGGTACTTTTAGTTGTGTGTGTGTAGGTATAAGTACAAAGACTACTGTTCCAACAATAAAGAGTATATGAAGATATATTTTCAAATGCTGGCTTTTTCTCCTCCTGGGTTTACTAAAATTCAGCCAAAATGATCAAGTGCCAGAAGTAACAAATCTGCTGAGTGCTGTATACCTGATTCTGCTGAAACAGGCTAGAAACCCTGAAACCTGACAAAACAATGAAGTCAGATTGACTGTTGTTTTCTGATGACCTGCTGTTAACCATACAAAACTGGAGTCTGGTTCATGGAAACCTTGGTAGTAGATATAGTCTGTAGCTTCAATGATGCCCCTCCCTGTGGTTTTTAAGGTGGTTTGTCTTATTAGCCTACTAAGCTTGATTGAAGAAGCAAAAGACAAAGCGTAGGATAATCGTGAACTTTACAATGTACCTCAAGGGTGAGCATCGAACAATATACTATAAGGATTAACTTTTTTTTTTGTTTGGTTTGGTGTTTTTTTTTTTTTTTTTTGGCAACTGCTCTCTTGCTTGGGGACTCTGCACTATGGACAAAGCATCTGGAATTCCTACTCCATTGTACACTTACTTCTGACAAGATTAAGTAGAGCAAGAGAACACAGTTTCATTTCTTTTGATTTCAAATGTAGGGGAATAATTTAGGCACGACCTGTTTCTGGTTATATTGCAAAAGTGTTCTAAGTAGCACACCCCTGAAAGTGTGCTGAGCATCATACTCACAAAACCATTTGGTTTCCAGCTTCCTAGTCAGAAGCTGAGACTGGCTATAAGGCCCCGGTTGATTCTAGGTGTAGTGTATACATGAGTAAGTGACGGCTGAATTCCAGGATATATATCAGAGATAGTCAAATATTTTAAAACAGGTACATGCAATATAAACACTTGTTCCATTTTGTCATTATTTTAACTTTCCTCAGGTGTAATTTTCAACTTTCTGCTCTGTTTTGCTGACATCTGTCTATTCAGTGTTATTAGAAATTTAACTTAACACCATTTAATACAAAACTAATATTTAAATTAGACATTTATTCAGAATAAATATGGATTACTTTGAAAATTCAGAATGTCATGATCTGAAGATGTTTGTCTAGCAACAACCAATGAACAGACATGTTTGAATGCAAATTTATCCTGAGAGTAACTGTGAACATGTCTGTTCATTGGCGGATCATTTTTGCAATATCCATTGAAGGCTTCCATTTGTAAAAGAGTAATCATTGATGCAGGGTGTTTCAGCAGGATGCAAAAGAAGATCTTTTCATTTCAGATACATCACTTTCCATGTGGGCAATTATCAGCTGTGACTCATTCAATCATCACATCATTAAATCACCAAGTAATATACATGGGATCAACTTTTTATATGTAATGTGCATCATTAGAGTCTACTTGGAAAATAAAATGTTCTCAGAAAGCCAAAACAGCTTGATGTCAGTTTAATGATATGAGATGCATATTTAAAATATAACAATGTTGTTAGGAGATTTTGGCAGAAGCACAACAAATATTTAAGGGTTGGCAAGACTGAGCTAGCAGAAGCTTTATGGTTTTAGGTGAAGTATGGCTTAAAATCTGCAATGCTGTCCATAAACGGTATTAGCCATGGACTTGGGAGCAGGCTTTATCAATCTTTTCACATATAAGGTTGGCCTAGGCTTCAGTAGAAATTGAAAATAAGTGACTTAATTTATCAGATTTGTTTTAAGTATCAGTTTTAAAAATTATCAGCTACATTAAAAGAGACAGATTCTATTCAGAGGGGCATATAATGATTTTTTTTTAATCACTATAGCAACAGATCACAGATAAAATGCACTATTCTGAAGCATTTGATAACTGTGATATCAAATGATTAATTAATCTATGTGCTACTGTAACAACAGCAATAATAATTTTATGATTTTCTATTTTCTTCTTTTCATTTTTCCCCACACATCTCCTGTAGAGGTCCTTTTGTAGTGCCATGGTAGAGGAGCTGAGAATGTCCTTGAAATGTCAGCGTCGGTTAAAACACAAACCACAGGCTCCTGTAATTGTGAAGACAGAAGAGGTTATCAACATGCACACATTTAATGACAGAAGGTTGCCAGGAAAAGAAACTATGGCATAGAGCTGGGAGACCACCCAACCCCAAGCACAAACTGTTGTCTTTTTCCTTTCCTTTCCTTTTTTTCCCCAAACCAACGTTTGCGAGAATGTTTCCTGTGGAAATATGCAACCTGTGCAAAATAAAATGAGTTACCTCATGCCGCTTTGTCTATGAACTAGAGACTCTGTGATCTAAGCAATTGCAAAGGCCAGACTCAAATCACAAGCATCACAGAGCAACCGCGTTTGTCAGGGGAGGGAGGGGTCTGGGTGTTGGCATTCCACCATTTGTCATGGGTTCCACCTTTCTGTAACAAGCAAAAGTTCGGTGGAAATTTTCTGGAGTCACAGTGAGAAATGGCAGGTTTCTTTTTGAAGTTCATCAGTTGTCAGGGGCTGGAGAAGCAATCAAACAGCTTCAAGAAACTAACTACCAGAGGAGTCTCTGAAAAATAATAGCTCAAAACTCTAGTAACAGAAAAAAAAACTCTGTTCTGTACGCCTGAGCATAGAAGAACTTGTAATTGCTGACCAAAGTCAATATAGGCCTGTCAGCTGATAGGAGCTTATTCAGAGGGAAAGTCATGAAAATGGAACCGTAAATAGAAGAATGAAAACAGGAAGTGTTACTTGCAATTTTTGTTCCTCTCGCTGTGTCATTCACCTGAATAAAGATAAAAACCTATGCCAATAGAAAACCACATAATTCATCTGTGCTGGAGCTTGGAGTGAACCCAAAGGAGGTGGGCCATATTTTAAATAAGAAAAAAAAGTTTCCCTCAGTTTCTTTTCTTAAAGATGATGTTCCTTATGATGCCTAACTATAAGCAATTCTGTCATTGTTTAACTGTGAAGCAAAGTACAAATTTGATATAGCAGAAGAGTATAATATGTAGCCCTGAAGAGGGTCTGGAAAACTCTTGTTCCTGCTTCAAAATGAACTCAAGGGAGCCTGTGGCATCCTCACAAGTAGCTGAAATATAGATGGGTCACCTAACCAGCAGGGGAAGTGGAGAACTTAAAAAAATGGACTGCATTTCTCAATATAGTCAATGGTGTTTAAATGAGCAACATTCTTGAGCATTTTTTTTCCTCCTCATCTAAAAACAAGAGGGAAAAGAATGTTCAGATTTATTTGTGGAAATGCAAGATTTCTATGAAAATAGTTTTTTGTATGGAAATTTTTTGTAATACTTTTTAAATCAACAATCTCAAGAACCTGTGTTTCAATCATGGTCAGGGGTGTGGTGCAAAGAGTGACTGGTAGTGCGTGTGCACCACCAACGTTTGGTGAAAACTATTTTTATCATGGAAAAAAAAAGGGGGAATCTTAGAAGAGAAATATTTTCAAGTTAGATAATATAATACCTAGGTGCACTACCAATACTGCTTATAATACCACACCCTTGGTTTTCACTAGCCTGATAATATACTGTAATGAACCAATGTGTGTAAATTATGAAAGACACAGACCTCTTGACCATATTGTGATAACAGTTGAAGTACACACAGTTTGCTGTTTGAATCCAATGCACAACATTAAAAAAAAAAAAACAATGACCACACACACATAAAGAAAATTGTCCGTTTTCAGTTGTTTTCTGGGAAGGGTGGGTTGGGATTTGCAGTGCGATTTGAGCAAGATGCGTGTAGGACTGTTAGAACTTCTGATATTAAGTTCTGATACCACAAACACTTATCACCCTCCTGAGTTTGGCAACAGCATCAGCATTTGAAATGTGTTTGCAAGACTAGGCCCACTCCATCTCCCTGGCTACTAGTCCTTTCCATTAGTTGTTAATCGTTGGGCCCTGTCTAAAAGGAATCCCTTCTGTGCAAGACTTCTGGGAATGGATAACAGTGAAGAATGTGTTCATGTGCAACTTTTATTCATTTCCGCAGAATATATACAGAAGAACCATCTGCTGATTGCCTCTCCCTGCCTTTTGAGGCACTGGGTAAGGAGCCCCTGAGCAAGTGATATATAAAACAACTGGTGTTTAAAATGCCTTTCTGGTGCTCAAAACAGATGTGATACCATCTTAATAATTTTAACTTAGTCTTACTGTAAATTTGTATCCTGAAAATGTATAATGTAGGGACACTTGCCTATAGCCACAGTTTATAAATATAGCTTTTTATGCCAAACAAATCATTTCTTTTCTTCTTTTATTTTTAATAAACAGAATCCAAACATTATTTTGTACAAACAACGAGTCATCTGTAGATAATGAACATATTTGTATATTCAAGGCACAAATGTTCATTAAAAAAAAATCTGCAATTTTTAAAAAAAAGTCCCTCGGAAAATGTTGCCTGTGTCTATAGACAAACCAACTCTTGCAATGCATGAGGACAAATTCTCCTTCCATTCTGGTTGTTGCTTGTATGAACCTCAGAACACATAGATGGGCCTACACTCCAATATTCCCTAGTTCCTCCTTATTCTCTCTGAAAGCAAAGCAGGGTGTGAGTCATTGTGAGATGACTCAAATGGGGAGATCTCTTTGCACTGTAGATTTGGATTTGGGCTGTGGCTATAATTTTCAGATATTATAGTAAGTATTCACCTATTGTAAATATTAGACAAACTGCTTGAGTGGGTAAATGGTTAAACAAGTGCAGTCCATGGCATGTTTCACAGATGTCTCAAAACAGGCTATAGTTACCATTTGTTTCAGCAAAAGACTATGATGTTCTCAGTATCCCAAAGTGCCCCAGGAGCAGTATAATCATAGAAGGTCACTTGTCAATATCACGTTGGGAATAGTAATTACAATTTCACATGCATGTGGGAATCGCTGATTTCCTCTGGTTTCCAAAAGGTTTCTCTTGCATACTAGAGCTTGTCTATAATTGCAATATGTTTCATGTATGCAATTGCTTTGCTACAGTTAAGTTCAATCTGGAGAAATTAAATTGTGTAAAAGTCATGCTACTGATTTGGAAACACTGGAGAAACAAAAGCTTTTTATGAATCGGAACCTATGAGCCTAGTTCTGCACAGCTACTACGATGAAGAGGAAGACTATATAATGAAATTCAGGAAAATTATTCTCACCCTTGACTCTTCTTTCTTCCTACTCAGTATGCGTTTTGGTCCTGTTTCATGGCATTGCTATACAACATATTTCAGGCTGATGTGTTATGAATTAGATCTTGCCATCAACATCATGGCACAGATCAAGGACTGGTTAAGTATAAGATCAAGTGCACCTGAGCTGTTACTAAGCATATCAGTTCACATAAAACAATTGGCATTGTCTGTAAATCATACACCTGTAAATAACTTGCAACCATACACCTGTTAAATAATTTGCAACTAATTCCCCCATTCAGAAAGAGCCTGTATGTTGCTGTGGGAAAGGTGCTGAACTAGGTTCTAGGTCTCCCTTGGCATGAAAGCTAGCTGGTGATCTTGCACCAGACCTTTCTTCTCAACACTAACCAGCTGTGCAACATGCTGGCTGAAAAACAAACAAAAAGAAAACAAAATTCATTGTATCCTGTACTAATAAGCATTGCTGTAGAAACTAGGTGAACACAGTGTGAAAAAGCAGATCCTGCAAGTAAGCAAGGAAAATACTGAGAACAGCAACCGTTTTCCCTATTATGAAGATCAAAGGGCATCTGGAGGTCAAGCAGTTGTAAAAAGCACTGGAGCAGGAGCCATTGTCAACCATTTTATACAATGGGATTCCTGAAATAATACAGCAACACAGCCAAGGAACAATTAATCACAATCATATTTGGGTTTATTTTGCTTGACTGTCTTAGCAATTTTATCACTGAAGAAAGGCTTAAGCATTGGCCTCTGCTACCATGATACAATGGATGAATCCACATGTGCCATTTTCCTTTTGCTAGAGTAAATTAAAAGAGATTTACAATAAAAATTGCTGATGCAGTCTGTGATAGCCTTAATCATGCCATATGTTCCTTCTTGAAGTGATGATTTCAATGAAAATTGCGTAAAGTTGGGTTCTGCCTCAGAAATGGAACTTTCTCTGCCTCCATTGCACAGTCCTCCCACACCTCAAATATGCTCCAGGGGGTTGTTTAGCCCTTTGAAGAAGAGTTTGAGGGCCCACAGTAGGACTTACCTTTTTACTTTCAGCCATAAATGCAATTCCAACACTGAGAAAACTTAATTAGAGATTATGACCCTTTGTTCCAAAATTACCTGCATTTGTAAATACTTGAAGAAAAGACTATCTAAACTTCTGTTTTACTTTGTACCACTATACCTAAATGCTCTGCATTTTAACTGGGATATGACTTCAGAGGGACAGAATGACATTTGAGCAAATTAACCTAGGTATCTTAAGGCATTTTTAAATATCATCTATCCAAAGAGCCACAATCTTATTAGAATACTTATTACTTTCATAAATGATTATGACCCTTGTGAAATGAAACACAATGTGATATTATAATCACATTAATATTTTAATAAGAATGACAAAATAATAAGTGCTAGTAGCTTACATCTCTGGAGTGATGTTCCTAGATAATCATCTTCTCCATTATGGGGTAACTTTGATTATGCTGACTTGGAAATCTAGGAGGAGTTACAGTCTCAATATTGAGACAACAAGATAAGGAAGGCTATTACAGATGTTAATAGAGTTACCATCATGGAAAAATATGCATGTAAGGCTAATTTAGAAATATAGCCTTATGAGGAATTAGTATCCAATCTCAAACAAATATTTAGAAGTCCTCCAATATAGGTCTATTTGCATTCCAACACTGCATTGCCCAGACCTCTATCCAGTTTATAGCTCTGTGACTGTTGCTGAAGCTTTGTCAGTTTTAAAATAAGATAAAACATGCTCCCTTTGGAGGTGAACTTTATATGGCTTTCTATAAAATTCTAGCAACCAGTTGTTTTTTTGTCAAAAGAATCAGCCTGCTATGGAGTCTGCAAAATCTAAGTAAAATTCAGCTAAAAGCCAATTACTGTCCAGTCATCATTCTTTCCATTCATTTGTATGAATCTGAAAATTTTGTTTGATCACC